AGTCTACTTGTGGACGTAGTATCGGTTCACCATGTTAAATATCTTAATTTGTTTACAAATACTCTAAAAATCCTAGTATGGATTTGCAAGAAAAATAATATTTGTTGCGCTATTAAAACCCTGCTCTTTCATTTTCTTTATTAGAATAACCAACTCTACGCCACTCAACGAATTTCCCTTTACGTAATTTTGTGTAAAGGTCGTTCTTGAATCATCGTCGTGGTTGACAATTGAGTTGACAGCAAAGGATATTCCAGGCAGTATATCTGAGTTGACGGCTGTAATTTTATACAGGATGTCCGGAAACTCTGCGACAGTGTTACATGAATGTTGTCTCCTTACCAAGACAGACATTCTCGTATTTAACACAGCTTGTAACATGGGTTCATGAACCCTTTTTCTATAGAAGGATGAAAAATGTGCAAAATTCCTTCACTAGAGGGCCTATGAACATGGTATCGTTTTAGCCTATGAAGCTTCTTTTTTCATAGTATCCTCAAGCCTTAGGTAGTTAAGGATCACAACACTTCATAATTACTTTTATTTATAAAAAAAGTATACCTAAAATATGTACATAACAGGCAAACATTTGTTTTAGCTACTGTTGTGAGCTACTTAGTGCATCAGAAAGGGAATGAACATTTATGACCTACATATAATTATGTACCTATAAATAGTCTGCTTCGAATTTCAATGATACTTAATCGTTAAGAAACTGCAGATACTAGTATAAACTTGCTTAAAAATTACTCTTAATCGGATTTACGTTGTGTAGCAATAACATTACTCAAAATAGCCTGTGCTATGACCAGTGTAAGACCTTAATTAAAGACTTGTGGTCGATAAGATATTTTACACAGATAATGTTAAGATATATTTAACATTTGTTAAACAATTCTGGAAATATGATTTGAATACCTCAGTGTATTTTCATTGTTTTAAACATACTGTATATTTCATAAACAAATTTACAATGATTAGTCTTGACAAATTCAATCCCAGCATAAATGTTTGTTTAAAAATTGTATAAGGGAAAATTAAAGTGTTTACAGTTACATTTTGATAATTACCGAATGGTGGTCATTGGTGTCCAGTCATTGTTTGGACTTGTCCTCTTGTTCTTCTCTTAATTAAGTGTTTCTTGATTAGTTATCAGATTTGATTGAATCGTTAGATTGTAGTTTAGTTTAGCAGGAATTTCCTTCTTTTGTATTGAACTGTAAAATAAAACCCGTGTGCAATTTGCCGCGTTATTTGTATAGTAACTTTTTAATGGATAATTGATCGATTTCATTAGGTTTACTACCTCTTATAATTATGTATCTTTACGAACTGAATACGCTTCAGTAATATTTAGATAAGTATCGTGGACATTAACTGAATACATTTCTAAAAGATTCACGATAAGGATATATATTGCTTGGCTCAATGTGTACTGAGAATAAATATAAACATCCAATACCTACAAAGTTAGATTAGAGAATGTAGCAAAAAGCTCAAATACCAATGCTTTAGGAGAAAAATTAAAACTGTCCCGATTGTTTTTGATGGTTAAGGCCTGATTTACGCAGATTTGAACGTAATCTTTTTGTTGTTAGAAATACAGTAGATCCATGTATGCATAATTATTACTATAAAATGTACTCCCTATAAAATCTTAAGTATTATAAGTATAAGATTTATAGGTCCCTTTTCTATAGAAGGATGGAGTATGTAAAAATTCCTCCCCTAGAAGAAGTGCATATGAAGCACTTTTTATACAGATTCTTTAGTAAGTTCTAGGTTTTTTCCTCACAAAATGTCATGGTCACTTATAACGAAAGTACATAAGCATAGGGACATCACAGGAAATTCACTAAAATTTATAATATATCTTTAGTTTATCTTTGGAGGGGGTTTTCTCAAATAATACTTTTAAGCTATATGCCCTTTTCCTAGCTGCGACCTAAATTTACCTATAAAATGGGTTGAAGCGCTGTTCGGTTTTCGTGACTCGCGTCGCGCGACTTGGGATTATGGTTAGGATACGTGCTGGATTTGTCAAGTTATACATTTCTAAAGCTATTCTACAGTATATGCTTCACCTAGGGTCGTATAACAGACAGTAAGATATACATGTATTCAAAACACACAGGATACTCAGTGCACCTGTATGGGCTATACCAATGTGCGTCTTGTAATGCAAATGGGAAACTAATCTGAAAAGTGCATCAGCTGTAAAGTATTTAATAATACTGTAAAGTATTACTTGAATAAATCCAAAATAGCTCTGAAATGTATGTTACCGTGTTCTTTGCAAATCCGGGGCCCACGTTGGCTGTACGTTAGTAAACAATGCAACCGACAGCGTATTCCAAACATGCGTTACAACAGTTCAATATGTAACAGTTACAATGTCTAATCAGTTGTAACAGATGCATTGTACTATCTTCACATATGAATGGATCTCTAATGCCTAAGTTATGGCATGTGATTTGTACGCTGCCTTTCGCACCAGCACCAGTTTAAGATATATATTCAACGTATTGCAGGAATATCCTTGTTACAAAATTACTAGTTATTAAATTATATTTGTGAACAGTTGCCAAAGTTCACCACAACTCATAAAAATTTATAATATAAGAGTATAACACAACATTGTCGTTAAATGTTTTTGATAGTTAAAAATTACTTTTAATAACCACTGTCTTAATCATTTTTAGCTGTAATTTTCTTTTTATTTGATGATGTAAAAAAACTGGAAATTATAGATTTGCTGCAGTGGGATTCATTCAAATAAGAATGCTTATGCTATATTATTCTAGTAAATATATTTAGGCCTATTATAATTAAATAGAAGTAAAGTCGCTGATAATAGTCAAACATAAACGCATTAAAGTTATGAAACATTTAACCTAAATAACTCACTTATTAGTATATGTTCAAACCAAACAACGCCAAAGGGTGATTTATATAAATACAAAAGAATCAGACATTTCATTTCATTTGATTGGAGTATAAACTGGAATATCACTGTGTTTCAAAACACAATTCTGTAGTAATTAGATTCAGCAAATTATCTTTCCATCGACTTTTAATGGGGTAATATGACACATGATAGTTGATCTAAGGTTCAATTATTTTATTCATACAAAATTAATCAGTAATCATTTTCTTTACTTTTGACATCATGATCAAGAACAGCAATGCGTAAAGAATTGCTTATATTATGAGCAAGTACAAGAAGTGTTGATGATGAATTTCTATGCATATCATTTTAACATTGGAATGTGTCGTGAAACGCAAAGATTGAGTGACGAAAAAATTATTCCAATGGCATACCCATTGGCAGTTTATTTTCGATATGGATAAAATGCCTCTCAATATGGAGGAGTATGTTTTAAAGAAGTAGCAGGAAAATGTGGGAGCAGACCAAGTAAAAAGTGAGAAGGATAACATAAGAGGAGGGAGAGAGATAAGGTTTAGGAGGGAGAAGAAGTTGACAACTACGAGGGGATGGACAACAAACAGATTAAAACAGAAATGGACAGAGCCAAAAATAAGATTGGGAGAGAGACAAAAATGAAAGAGACGCAGTGAATAGAAAATAAGAGAGATAGGAGGAGCAGAGAAAGATAATGTGCGAAGATAAGGGTAGAGTGAGGAGAAGTCCCTAGGGAGAGGCTCTCACTAACCACTTTGTCTAGTCTTCTCACACCCGACTCATGTTTTATGTTCACACTTTTAGTAATCAGTTGGTTGGTAAAAGTCCAGACTATTTAATCTTTTCCACATCTTAGATCTTACCATAGATAAATAGAATAAATATTTATTATATTTGTCTATGATCTTGCTATTGGTAAGGTAATTAATTTGACTTTTGTTATTAGTTATAGGTTACACAAGCGTTTTTGATTGAGGGGATTCCATTCAGAATTATTTATCATCAATATACGAGTATTATAGCCTTGATCATTTCCATATCAGATTTAATTTTCAAGGTTTAAAAGCCAAGCATTTGTCTTTAGTCTTTAGCATTTGTTTTTATTACGAAGATAAAAAATTAACGATAAAAACTTAAAACACTAAAGTATAAAAACTTTAAGTACTCCGGAGGTTTTTTAAACCAAAATATTTATTCCAGAAAAGTTTACTTAGACAAGCAGAGTAATTTTGTGTACTTATACTCTAGTCTTGCCATCTTTGTGAATTGGTTCTAGAATGGATATCGAATTGAATAAATTGTTAGTTGACTTTAGTGAGAGAACTTACAGTACTGTTATTTGTCCTATCGTTATGAATATAGTTTGAGTTAGTCATGCAAAAGTTTGGTTCGAGATTTTCTTATGAACATTTGTTTTTGAACAGTTGGTAAGTAAAAGAAAAGATTAAACATAATTACATAATTTACAGTTGGGTTTTGGAGATTTTAACTAATCAAAAAACGTGTTTGAACCGATTTGGAATTACAAAAATACTTAACACAATTTTTTCTCGATTGGTTCTAAATGAGTTGTAAACAATGCTCTAAATGTCCTTAAACTTTTCCAATATAAACTTTATCGTTTTAGATCAAACAGGTTTATTTGAAGAACTCGCTGCACCAATTGTATCGAGTATGAACTTAGGACGAGTGTTTTCTGTAAACTCCGACTTGAAGTATTACAAGTTATTCTATCTCTCAGGTAAAATAATACAAATTGATAGTAGCCGGTAACTGTTATTTTAGTTGCACCGGTAATGAAATTACAAACCCACGACAGTGATGTTTTGGGTTCAAGCACTGGTGCTACCACCTAAAATGTATCAGTTTCATCCTCACACTCTCATCTTTTGCATTTTCTTGATACCACGTACCTGTATCCAAGTACAGGCCGGAATATCATGAGTACGGGCAAATTCAATGTAAAAAAGACCGAAAACACATTTATTATTATAAGCAAATAAAAAATAAACAAAATAGCATACTTGTGGTAAATTAATACATCATTTCATTATTAAAAAACAATCTTGAGACTTACTTTGGTTATAAACTCCTCCTTTATCGTCTAGATAGGACTCCATGGCGTTAGATAGTTCGTAGATGGTGGAGAGTGCGGCGCAGACCTTCCTCATCCTCAGGGGGATCTCCTCGATGAGGCCGGGGGTGCACTGAGGTGGCGGAGGCATGGCGGAGCCCCATGACATGGCGAGGGACAGAACAGCGGCAGCTAGCACCACGCAACACTTCATACCTGAGAACAACCAGACGTAATGTTGTAAAATAACACAATATCACAGATATCCGCTGAATGATGCCGAGGAAACGATAAAAAATCCATGGAAAAGCACACCACCATTAACATACTGAGTGTTGTAAATTAGCATAGCCTTCAAGGTATCTCCTTAAACAATACAGCTATTCGCTGAAGAATGGGACATATAATAAGGAAGAGTACAGCAACAATCGACATGAAACATCTCTTTTTTACTTACAGATGTACTTGCCAGATTTTACATTAAGCTACTTACAGTAAAATATTAAATTTACATGATCCAATAGTAACAATATCCAAAGCATTATTCCAAGATGGTATGCTAATATACCTTCCATAAAGGACCACAAGGTAGCACTTGATCACAGACCAGTAATGTCTCCACTAAGTTGAAGGTTAAGTCAAACGAATTTGCTAGGTTTCACAACTGTGTTAGTAACTCTTGAAGCAATTGATTAAAATAATTTGATAGCAAGTAAAAAAACATAAACTTTTGTTGTGTTTCTAAACGAGTATTTAACTGAGGTACAGTAAAAAAATACTAAGATATGGACTTACGACATTGAATTTCCTAAGTATAACGAGATTTTAACCCCCAATCACTTTACGATCATTTGCTATGACGATAATAAAATTTATTATTTATGGATTTCTTTGTATATTATTATATACAGGGTGATTTGTACTCAGTGTGACAAAATTTTTTTTGATGTAAGTACAAAGTAAATGAAGTGTGATGATGCATATCAAATGTTCCAAGTCTCAAAATTAGCGTCCCAAAAAATTATTTTATGTTTTTGAAAAACAACCGTGCTTTTAAACTTAATACAGCGATTTCTCAATTACCTGTAAATGGATTTGAGTAGATAATGTCATTTTCGTGTTCTACATTAAATTTTGTACAAGAATAATGGAAAATAACGGAGGATCAGTTGTAAAAACTCCATTGTAAATAGATTCAAAGATAAAAATTAAGATATTTGATAAAAATTTCAAAAACAATGGTCTATTGCATTTTTCACACCCTGTATACAAGAAAGTGACGGAATATGTTAAAAACTGCGCCATTTTATAAGCTTTCCAACCATATGCTACACTATTGAGGTTTAGATATTTTTTTGTTTGTTTTAGTGGTTTGAATACAAGAAAACAGGGAACTTTTTTACTGTTTTTACTGTTCAAGCTGAATCAAAAATACAACTTTTGCTTAATACATGCCGACTTTCTATGTTTTAAATGTTAAAGACACCATGCTTTGTAGTCTTCAAACCATTAAAGCGTACATAAGCAGACATAAACCTCAATTTTTTTTTTTTTTTTTTTTTTTTTTTTGTCCTAGGACTCTAGGCACGAGCCTGGGATTGTTTTTCACATTACTTCAGGCTAGACCTAGGGGTTGCGGCATTATCACTTAGATAAAATCCATTGGTGACTTGGCGGGGATCGAACCCGGGACCTCACGGACCGAAGTCCCGCGCTCTAGCCACTACGCCAGCTCGCTCCCCAAACCTCAATAGTGTAGCATATCGTTGGAAAGCTTATAAAATGGCGCAGTTTTTAACATATTCCGACACTTTCTTGTATACAGGGTGTGAAAAATGCAATAGACCATTGTTTTTAAAATTTTTATCAAACATCTTAATTTTTATCTTTAAACTAGCAGAGTACCCGTCCTTCGTACGGGGTTGGCATATAAGTATAAAATGCTTATTGCAGTTTAAAAATAAATAAATTATGTAACTGAAAGAATCCTATTATAATGAAATGACATTAGCGTATGGTTTGACAGCTCCATTTAAGTAATGTTAAATAATGTTTACATTCAGGATAGTGACATCATTATTTTAAATATGATCCTTACCCCCTCTGTTCTAATATTCATGCAGTATTTAAATGAATGTTTGAACCAGCTGTATGGAATTGTGAAATCAAAATTAATTTGACAGTTAGTACTGCTTGTTTACATTTTTAAACTTTGTAGGTTTGTTCTTTGTTGTCATGGATACCATCAATCAAAATTTACTTTGAAATCTCTCAACTCCGATTTTTGAAAGCCCACGGGGCAGAGCCCTAGGACAATATTGAAGCGGGAATAGTTCTATATGTATCCTCGGAACTGTAGCTTCATGTGTGTGCAATTTGAGCCCAATAGGTTCAGTAGTTTTTGAGATTAGCTCATACAAACACACACACACACACACAGACACCACCTCTTCTTTATAATAGTATAGATAGATATATTTACAATGGAGTTTTTACAACTGATCTTCCGTCATTTTCTATTATTCTTGTTCAAAATGTAATGTAGAACACGAAAATTACATTATCTACTCTAATCCATTTACAGGTAATTGAGAAATTGCTGTATTAAGTTTAAAAACATGGTTATTTTTGAAAAACATAAAATAATTTTTTGGGAAGCTAATTTTGAGACTTGGAACATTTGATATGCATCATCACACTTCATTTACTTTGTACTTACACCGAAAAAAAATTGTCACACTGAGTACAAATCACCCTGTATTTATATCTATAATCTTTAGGAAAATAAAACGCGATAGCTATCTTAACCAAGAGCAAGTCTACTTCCAATGCGATTTCATTTGTACAGCACCGCCCAACGTTACTTAAAATTTCGATTCATTTAAAGGTCAAAAGATTCAAAGCCTGACAAAGACGGAGAGTAGGTGTTTGAATACTTCTATAGGGAACGAGGTTGTATCAATGTTGTATTGACTTTGGACTGTTCCATTCCCGCTATTCCGTTTCATTTAAACTGTTTTCCCGGAGTCACTGTTGTGTGACGTGACGTCACTGATTGAAAACGGGACAGGAAAGTAGTTTGAACAAATTTGTGTCAGCTGAAAACTACATAGGATAAAAACTAATTGAACCTCAGTGAGTATCTTTGAACCCCAGTATTTGCGGAGTTGTACTAGTGATGGACTCAAGTATTTACTATTTCAGTCCATTAGGGTTAAAACATTCTGTAATGTATACAACCTTCCTGAAACCTGAAATGTCATATACACTAGTCAAAACTTTATTTAAAATAATGTATAACGTCAATCTTATATCAATCTACCAAATTATCAAACGTTCTCTACTGTTCAAATCCATTAGACAAAAGAGTTTAGATTAAATTTCCTCACATTTTACGAACTCTATAGCAGCAGAACAGTTATAGATTAGTATTATGTGGTTTATAAAATTAACACAGAGTTATTTTAATCCTTAACCGACATATTTTATTTCTGAACTAACTCGAATGGAGAAAAAATCACACAAATCCTAAAAGCTCAGTCTTATTTTTGATCACAAATTTAAATCTAAATGGGCTACATCACAAAGTTTTCTCACAGCTTGCTGAACGTAAGATATTCAACATAATGAGTGCAGAAAGTTTCGTTTAACTTTCACCGGTTTAACATGCCCTGCCTTTCATGCGTGAAACATATTACGTCTGGAAGTTTAATGTACGATGCGAAAACATATTACCGGTTTGGATTAAAAACATTAAGCTTCCAAAATAAAAATGTTTGTAAATATTTTAATACATTTCAGAGCTCTCTGATAATACTTAAAGGAACGCATTATCGCAGAAAGAAATATAAAAAAATCTCCGAAGGTTTCAGGTACAGTAAATCCTCTGCGATTTCGTTATAAACAAATTTTAAACTTTCTGCTTCTGATTTAGACTTATATCTTTTCTAAAATGATTGTTTTTGGAAGGTATATTTAAACAGTTACAACTTTCATATTATCCTAGTTATTTGCCTCTACACTTTGCATTTTAACATGGAATATTTATTTGTGCAACTAGTGATTAAAGTGAGCAATGGTTTCTCGAATGAGACGATTGCACTTTGCACTCGAGTTGCACATTATATTTTTCCTACAGTTACCATAAAACAAATAAATTGGTAAGGAAACGTGACTTCACGTTGCAAATCTGGAGTGAGACGATGTTAACATTGTCTCACTGATGAGTGAATTGGCCACTTTGCTTTCTCAAATCAGTGAGAGAACATGTACATTGTAAGGTAACTGTAGGAAAAAATATTTTTTATGACTCATACCAAAACACAAAATTGTTGTTACAAAAATGGTTTGTTTCATCATAGCAACATCTGCAGGGTGCTCTAATAATAACAAAACTTAAGGGATGATTGAAATATAAGTTTGGGGATCACCTTAATAGGCTGTATTAACAGTGACAATTAAACATTTCTAGTATTTTAATTGTTAATTTTTATGTCAACTTTCTTAAAGCCGTTTGTAATTTTCTTTCACGATCCAAAATAGTTAAGCTTTATAAAATCTGTCCGAGATGTGTTCATAAAAGATCTGAAGCTACGCGTAACACTGGTGACAACCAAAAGACGCACACAAAAGACGCATGTTTCACAAGGAACACACACACAATGACCACAATACGACAGATTGTACGCACAGCGAATGGGAATAAACAATACTCGCTAATATACGCTGGAGGATAATTTAGGGAGGACAATCCCACCCCAGCTACCAAACTCAAGATCGACTTGGTCATTGTGCAGAGATTAAGCCTGATTTTAGCAGAGAACTTAGAAATGGCGTAGCACTGAAGAAAAAACAAATAGAATATAGAATATTATATTAAGACGGCATTTTTTGACATGATTATGTGATGTAGTTTGGAGCTGTAAAAATACAAATAAACAATGATTTTAAACGGATTAAATGTTAGATGGAACCATTGATTGAACCCATAAATATAGAAGAGTAATATAATTACTGTAAATAGTTATCTTGTTTTCATTAACTATAGAGTACCTGGGGACCGAGCTTTGCTCGGGGGAAATTATTAGTTTACTCTGAAAAGTATTGCAGATACATTAATCCACTCCCCATCTCCAAACTGCTAACCTTCACTACTTACTTCACCACTCCCTACGTCGTGGACCTGTTTGCCCTCCTTCCATATACCATTTTAGAAT